TGGTGGGCCGAAAGAAAAGCCGTTAACTCAGAAAGTCTAGCAATTAATTGGGGATTGCGGCGGCCAGAGTCAGCAAGAGAAAACTCACCAACCGAGGCACCGAACGCCTTCAAATGCCGACCCACATGCGCGACAAGTCTTCGCTGTGCTGCATTAGCGGGCCGTTGCAGAGCTGACAAAGGTATTGGCACAAAGTTCGAATGCAGGAAATTCAAAGCCATGCAAACGATGTGCAGCAAACGCCTGTGCATGATGCGCTTGCGGTAGCGGCTCCCACTCTGCAAAGGAAAGCTCTGGAAGAGCCCAAAGAAAGGCAAAGGGATCGGAAAGACCGAGCCCGAAGGCGGAGCAGGCTTGGCAAGCCTGGGCAAGTGCAAAGTTGACAAAAGAAAGGCAGAAAAGTCGGTCCGTGTCCGAAGGATGGACCTGAGCATGCCGGAGACCCAAGTAGCAAAAGTCACCTTGGTCTCAAAACCGAAGCTGCGAAGCGAGGCGCCAGATCGAGGAATCCCGGGGGGAGGTCGTGTCGGGAGCTGCTGGGCGCACCTGCCAGTCACTTGGCGTCCTGCTTGGGCTTCTTCGGGAAACGTGGTTTTCGAGGAGGCTTTGGCTGATCGGCGGTGTCCTCGTCGGCAGGGGCGGCAGGAGGGGCCTTCGGAGCGCCTAAGGATTCCAACCTGCGCGTCGTGATCAAATCCACTTCTTTGAGGAACTGAAGGGCGCAAGTGGTCCAGGCCACCGGCGACAGAGGCGAGAACGCCCGAGTCCGAGGGTTTGCCGACATGCCCCGGCCGTGGAACAACTGAGAAGGTGGTTCCTCCAACAGCGTCAAAAGCCAAGCGAAGTCCCATCGGCCTCGGTCTAGAATGCTCTGATCCAAGGCCACGCACGTAAGTGCCAGGTGCTCCTGGGCCCCGGCCACATCCTGATTTATCAGACAGTCCATCACATGACCCAGGCACCACATCAGATACCCTGACTCGCGGTGGCCGGCGAAACCACCGAACCTCTCCAGGTAATTGCACATCGAGACCTGCCCCGAGCAATCTTCGAGAGATGCTGGAACGGGCGAGGTGGGGTGAAGCCGCTTCGACATCAGCTGCACCACGGCCAAAAAGAAACCGCCTGTTCTCCCGGCCAGAGCAGCCTGCAACTTTTCGCGGCGAGCTGCACCCTTTGCCCCGATCGACGTTGAAGAAGAAGGCCCCGTCAAATCCCCAAGGCCCCCGTCCTGCTGAGAAACGAGGTGGCTCACTAAGCTCGATAGGGCCTGGCTCTGCTGGAGCAATGCTGCCTGAAATGGATCCTGGGGAGTGGCAGGCTGCTGGACGGCCGGTTCCACACGAGGAGTAGAAAGAGCGCCCCCAGCGTGAGGCGACACAACAGCTTCGCCGACAGGCGGCCTGGTCCGAGGAGGCGGCCCAACCAACGCAGCTTGCTTGGCCAAAGGAAGCCCGGGCCCCCTCGCAGGAAGGAAAGGCATCTGATGCGCAGCTTTCGGAGGCTGGNNNTTGCGCCCTGGTTCTTCTCTAAGGCCTCTTGTTTCTCGCGCATAGAGGCAAGCTGCTCGCTGATCTGAGGCAACAAGGCACTGAGCTGGGAAACCTGGGCGGCAAGGTCGGCTGTGGTCACTCGCTTCTTGGC